AATTGCATTGTGAATGAGTAAGAATGTGAGTTGAATGAGTCAAATAAATTAATGCTGAGTTAGTTCGACTGGAAAGAGTAAAGGATTAACATGTTTGAAGGAAGTAAAGTATATGTGTATTATGATTTGAATAAGGACTTTATGAAGAATAATGTATGTGCAAGGAGTGTTGATTATCAAAGTTATGAAGAGATGATAAAGATTAGTAATCAGAGATGAGCATAAGTGAGAGGAAAAGAGTATGTGAGCATGAAAGAAAATATATATGATTTGTGTATAAGGAGATTTTGATTTTTGAATGAATAAAGGAATAATGGAATAAGGAAATGAAAGGAAAAAGTTTAAAGAATCAGATGTGATAAAGGTTATGTTTCTTGGTCAAGGAGATTTAGTCAGAGGAATAAAGAATAATTTATATGTATTAAGGAAATTTAAGAAGTAATTAAGCGTTGATGGAATAAAAGTTCGTTATTACTGCAAGGTAATTAAAGATTGATAAGGAATTTGATTGATTGATGATTTTGAGTGATAAGAACTGATGATATTGGTTATATGATAAGTGACGTGATAAGGGATGTAAAAAAAGTAGTTGAAGAACTAAGGGAAAGAAAGATTAAGTAAAGGAAACAACATGAGAACATTAGCAGACATGTTCTTATCAATGTGTGCAGTGAAAATTCGAGGACAAATTTTCTTTTAAGAGGGGAGATTTGTAACATCCTAAATCAGGGTCAGTGACTAAATTGCAAATTTTAAAAACTATGTGCTCGATTTCGAAATAAGTTAAAAGTTCATGGATTTAATTGAAGAAAGTTGATGTTGGATTTAATGGTAAAGTTTGGAAATAACAAGGGTATTATGGTCTTTTCTAAGAGAAGATATTTTTTATTCTCTTTTAAGGGATATAAAAACGTGGGAAAGGAGATAATTTCTCCAGAGTATTCTTCAGTCTTCTTCTTCCTCCTCTTCACCGTGAAGCCTTGTATAAGGTAAGTGGGTCTTCAGTTGGTTAATTCTTTCGTTTTAAAGCTTGTTTTGATTCTTGGGATGTTAAGAAAGATTAAGGAAAGCTTTAGGTGTCTTAAAACTCAAAGATTAGCAAGTTATGAGAAATTAAGAAAAATGAGTTTTTATGTGAATTTTTGAAATAGAAGGAGTTAATAGATTTTGAAGTTTAATTTGACTTGTCAAGGGTTAAATTAAGAGATATGAAGTGATAGAATGGGTTTTAGAACATGTTGGAAATTTAGTGTGATTCTTGAATGCCATGTAAATGATAGAATTTTGAGTTTAAAGAAGTGATTATGGAGTAGAAATGAGTTTAAGTATGTGTATGAAAATTAGGAATATTAAAGGGAGTGAAGTATGAAGTGTTGATCTGAAAATGAAGTGATTTTTGAGCTAAAAATATGATTTCTGGGCAAGGGGAATCGGTACCCATTCAAGGGGAACGATACCCCTTCAAACGAACAAAAATTTCCAGAATGTCATGAGGGAATCGATACCCCCATAGTAGGGAACCGATTCCCCCTAAAGGAAAATTGTGAATATTGGTTTAATAAGTTCGTTTAAGTTGTTAGTATCAAATCACAAGGTATAGATATCTAATAATTGTCTTAAAATGTATAATTATGTAGATTCAGAGCCTAATCAAGTTCTGGAATCATTGACAAGTAAGATCGATCAAGGGGAAAGATAAGAGATTGGAATTGACTAGTGAGGCCAGGTGAGTGCATATAAGTTAGTTTATGATGTTTAACGGAAATAAGACTTGCGACAAGTCTATTTCCTATATTAGAAGGCCTGAATGTATGATCATATGCATATGTTTGATTTGGGTATATGTGATATATATATTATAGTATGTATTAAATGATTTTTGTGAATACATGCAGTGTGATAAGTTATAGGAATTAATATGAATGATCTATATGATTACATGAGAATGTGAAATAGGTTATATGATAGGTGACCATACATGTTACATAGTAAATATGATCAATTATAAGAATCAATATAATAGATTTATATGACTACAGGAGAAGGGTGATGAGTTAAATAAGATTAGACTATAGAGTAATATAAGAATAATATATTAGTGAAGGGAATTGAGTATAAATGATGATTCCAAACTATAAGATAAGTGTTATAGAGAAGAAGTATATTTAAAGAGAATTATGATATAGGATTTAAGTAAAATTTAACTAAATAAATAGATTAAACTGGTATAAATGGAAAATGAGATAAGTTAGGTAGCATTTACCTAGGAGATAACATAAGATTATATGAATAAGTAGCTTCAATGACATAAGGAAAACTTATGTGTTATATGATTTAAGCATTGAAATAAACAAAAGATATATTCAGGTGAAGTTATTCGGTGATATGAGTATATGCCATTATTATACGGTTTAGATGAAATACTATACATGAATAAATGTGATTGTGTGAGAAATGATAGAAACTATATGAGAACATGTATATGTGAAAGTAATCTATGTGATTATATGTTATATGAATACAATAACCTGAGATATGTAACATGTGAATTATATGGAAATGATCTACGTGTAAGTGAACTATGTGACTATGTGATTATATGAAAATGTGATAATGAGCTATGTTCAAAAACTATGAGACTACGTGCCCATGTAATATGAATATGTGAACATGTGAAATGACAAATGATAATGCCCATGTTATGTGTCATGAGAGCTAGGGGTATAGTTGGCATGCCAAGAGTCGAGGGTCTACGCGGTCCTTTGGGACATATATATATTCTTTGGAACATGTGTGAAGTCTTGTGAGACACATACTTGATCCCTAGTATATGTATATGATTCTTAAGGAATGATATGTGGTCCTTATGGACATTATTATATGACACTTCGGTGCATTTCTACGCGGCACTACGATGCAATTCTACGTGGCACTTCGGTGCATTTATACGAGCTGTGGTAACAACATTAGTGCACAACCTCTATAAACTCACATATCTATAGTTCTCACATGTGTTCATGGGCTAATAAAAATAATAAGATAAATAAAGTTGGTATGATTATATGTTTAGTTCGTTGTGAACTGATATATGTGCTATGATGTGATAATTAAGGATATTATGGATAAGAGTATAAAATTATAAGGACTAATGTACAAATTGATAATAATAGAAATGATTGTACATAAATATGTATATTTTGATATAATGATATGTGTGTTTCTCATGACATGGTACAAGTGCATATATATGTTGATGCATATGTAAATGAGCTATATGATTTGATAGCATAAAACAGTCATGCATGATTAGTGGGTATGAATTTCATTATATGTGTTTTTTTATGTCTCACTAAGTCATCGACTTAGCGTGTGATTTTTTCACACGTAGGTTACAGAAGCGAGAAGAGAAGAGAAGAAGAGTAAGATAGGTCAGCACCTCCCTTACAAAATTTCAGATCAGAAAATAGAGGATTTAAATGTTTTTGGTTATTTTGAGTATAGTTGGCATGTACTAATTGGTTGAATTAGTTATGCTCTGATTGATTTTGGGTATTGTCGTCAATTTATGTAACTGAACCGCTTTTACTTTAATGAAAGATTTAAATTTTCTTTGAATTTTGTCAAGAGTCAAAGTTTGAAAAGTCAATGTGACACCTCAGACTCGTATCCGGGTCGGGTACGGGTTGGGGGTGTTACAGCTATGATGAAAGAAGCAAAGCTTACAGATTATATAATCCTCTTACTAATAAGGTAATAATTTCAAGAGATGTCGAGTTCGATGAAGCAGAATATTGAAGATGGAGCAAAGAAGAAAAGAAAGTTAAAGGACTATTTTTTAATGAAGATAAAGATAAAGATGACGATCTTATCAATCAAGATGCACAAGTTGATGATCAAGGTCCTCAACAAAATATACCATTGTCGTCAAGCAGCAGCAGCGGTGCTAGCAACATAATAGAAAATTTTGAAGCATCTCCCACAGAAGTTTGAAAATCCACAAGAGAGAGAAGAATACCAGAAAGGTACAATGATTATGAATTAAATAATGTTTCATTATTTAGTCTCTTTGAAAAGAGTGATCTCATAACAAATGAAGAATCAATTGGAGATGATAAGCGGAGAAAAACTCGGAATAGAAAATCAAGTTTGAGGGAGAGTGTTAGAAATCAAACTTAATTCTAACAAAGTAAAAAATTACGGCTATGGAAAAGTGAAGAATTTCAACAAGGCAAGCAACGTATAATGACCATGTGAAGGAAAGTTTGAGGCGGCAAAGCGTATTCAATTGTAGCAAGCAACAATGAGGTGACAACAACTTTCTTAGTAGTTTTGACAACATACTCATACTTAATAATTAAGGGGAAAAACGTGACAATATAAGAAGAAATTAGCAGCAAAGTTAGTCGGTTATATACTTCTATAAATATGGTTAGATAGTTTTAGTTTAGAATGAAATACAAGAAATATAAATGAGGAAAAGCTTAGAAAAGAAAGAATGAGAGATAACTTAACAAAGTTATTAGAGAGAGGGTAAAGCTTAGCAAAAAATAGTGAATTTATGTTTGTAAACTAGCCGCAACTAGTGTTATAGAATAACGAAGTTGTGTTTATAAACTATCCGCAATTAGTGTTGTAGTATTGCAGTATTGGGGTAACATCGTTGTAACGTATTTTACCTCGTTTCATTAATAGTTCGAGTTATATAAATTATCGAGTGCCCACCTACGCTTTCAAAAATTCATCCCCTCGAAGAGATATTCCTTCACTCTTAACACTTACCCTTTCACCTTCATAAGAGGGGACTACCAAAAACTCTACAACTTCATCGAACAGCACGGCAGAGAAGTTGTGCGGCGCGGCGCGGAAGAGTTCAGCCTTCCTTTATCGGAAGCAATCCGTAACTTGATCTTCGTTCTTGGGTTCAATGCCTTTGGTGGTTTTTCTATTTTTTACCGTCATTGCTTAACACTGTGGCTAGTGATAAAACCGGGTTACAAGCCATGCTAAGAGAAGAAGTGAGAAAACTATCCGATCCATCAACGAGCTTGAGTTTTGACTCGGTGAAAGATATGGAGCTGGTGAACTCAGTTGTTTACGAGACGTTGCGGTTCAATCCGCCTGTCACGCTTCAATCTGCACGAGCAAGGAAGGATTTTGAACTCACTTCTCATGACTCGGTTTTCGACATAAAAAAGGGTGAGTTGTTGTGTGGGTATCAGCCGTTAGCTATGAGAGACGGTAGAGTTTTCGATGAGCCATTGAGTTTCAAGCCGGACTGGTTCGTGGGGAAAGGGAAGGAATTGCTGAGTTGCTTGTTCTGGTCGAACGGGCCTCAGACCGGGTCGCCTAGTGAGTCAAATAAGCAATGTGCAGGAAAGGATTACGGACACCGTCGGCTTCGTTAATTCTAGCTAACGTGTTTCAAAGGTATGATTCAATCAGTGGAGGATCTGGTAAAGTCAGCCGTTGAAAAGGCCAAGTAATTGGCACTTCAAACTCTGATGTGTCAAATTCATAAACATTAAATAATAAAATTTGTAAAATCAAATTGTCTGATAAAATTGTGAAATAAGTTATGTTCGAGTTCAATAGATACTTCTACAAGTCTAAAAAGTTATGTATGGGGTATTGATATTGTGTACTGTCTATTTCAAGTGAGTGCCTCGACCAGCCTTAATAAGGTAATTTTCACTCCATCATCGAATGAATGGCCCCGGCGACTCGCCGGTAGATCGAGTGGTGGAGCTCTGTCTGATTTTTAGATTGCAGATCAATTGTCGCAGGTTACCAAGGGATTCTGGATCACCCTGGAAAGGAAAATAGTACGAGGAATAGTTCAAAAGGCATCGTTTTTATTCTCTAGAAACACATAGCTAAATCCCAAATTCACATTTCGCACTCAAATCCAAGCTTTTATTCTGCTTGAGATTTCACAAGAACCCGATGCAAGACATGAAGTTTCTGAAGCTTACTTGAAGGATATTGACATATTTGTAATCCATCAACTTCCACGGAATGTAGCTTGACAATTGTGGTCGTGTCCTACTTGTAACAAGAAGTTTCAAAATTCAAACAATCAAAGAATAAACTGGTACATATGGATATATTACACATGTACATGGACAACATGTATTTTTGGCTACCTTTGGTTTTCCGAGAGCCTGAGATAGCAACCGATGACGTTTCTCAGCAGGCGCAGTAGATTTTCTTCATCTTCTTCACCAAGTCTCTCTACTAATTTTGCCAGACATTGGCTTACCGAAAGGTATCGCTCCGCAAGAGTGAAACAGTACTTGAGACCTTCCTCATTCAGTAAGATTCTGTAAATTATAAATGTGGCAACCTGCAGTGTTCATTATATTAGCGGCTGATAATGTTGGCTTCAAGAATATAGCAAAGTATGTTGGTCCTAAAGCATCCGTAATTTATCAAGCCTGAAAATTTTATAAGCCAATAAGTATTGTTGATTTGAAGAAAGTGGAGTCACTCACTGTTTTTGACAACGTTCTGCCAAAATCCATGCAGCGTAGGCAACTAGGAAATATTTGGGTAGAAAGAAGGTATTCAATCACTTCTGGATCATCAACCTGCATAAATTGAAAACTCAGAAAAACACGAATCGAAAGAAGGTAAAATATATTAAATGAAAAACCATTCAATAAAATTCCATGAGTTCTAATGATGTATTTATTCTGCAAGAGATTGACACGAAAACAGAAGAGAAGATGTGAGGGAAGGGTACCTTTGCTAGCGAGCCAATGACACCTAAGCTGGTGAGCCTTAGACATTCATAGTTCCTTTCACTGCTCATAGTGTTCAAGAAGGGATAAAGATACACTGGCAGAGTAGCTACAAAGAAATATTTCAATTAGAGCAGTTCTTATGATGCAACCAACAGAGATTTTTATAAAAGGTATACTGATACACAAAGCTTCACGTATTTAGAGGACTAAAAGTGAAATTACCTCTAATGAATGGCATCTTTGTATCAGGGTGAGAAGCTAAAGACTGTGAAGATACAAGGAATGGATGTAATTAAGTTTTTCAAAGAAATAGAAATTAGCATAATGTAAAAATACAGAAACGAATTCTTAGCTCCAAGCTTAAGATATTAAAGTATGTTACAATAACAATAATTCATTTTATACAATACTATAATACATGTTTGTACCAGTATCCATTGATAGAATCATTGAATACTTAACACAGCGATAATTAAGATAAATCTAATGAACCAGAAAAAGAATGAAATTAAATAATATCTGAAACTGAAAAACATATATCCATGAAAGTTCTTCCAAGATAGAAGTAGAAAAATGAACCAATGAGTTAAAGACTAAAACTTGTCAATGTTCATGCACAAAAATGAAACTAGAAGAATGGACCTGGAGAAGCGCTATGGCATTGCAAACTTGTGTTACCGCTCTTTCTTTAAGGCTATCGGATAATAACGGACGGTAAGCTGAAGTTATTACCTGAATAATGAAAAGGTAAACAATCATTTAGTATTGAATTGGCGTGGGCCTCAATAAAGCTTGCAAATCTATGATTTTCTTGGATAATAACATTGGTATGGTAGACAAAGAGTAGTATTCTAGAGATGCATGAGAATTGATTATTGCATGAGAATAGATACATAAAACATGCTCACTAGATGAATGAGATCAATGTTACTCAAATCTGATGGCGAGTGTTAGTTACAAGCATGTATTAGGGTAGTGTTTAATGTTACTCAAATTTAAATATGATATAAACACTGATACTTTGAAAAATCGGATGCCAACCCTAATGCTTAAAATTAATAAAAATAAAAAATCAAAGTAACATAGAATGAAATAGCAAAACGGCCTACCTCTAAAAGGATCTTCGTAGTACCAAAAGAATTCCATAATAAAATTGCCAACTTGTCACAAGTTTGTCTATTCTGGGGAGATAAGAGAAGATTACAAATGAGCCAAAATATCATAAGAACTTATTATTACTAGAAAGCTATATAACTATCTAATAATCAGAGCCCTAATTTTGGTGAAATAAGATGTCAAAATAACTTGAAAAGTATTTTTCTTAGAAAAAAGAGACTAACAATCATGGGGAAAAAATAGTGAGTCTTTTAAAAATGGTTCTACCAATCATCTGAAGATTAGTTCATATAATATAATCTTTATATTCAAGTGTATAATTGAATCGAGTATTTCTTTTTTACTAGAAACCAAACAAAGAAAGCTGAACCTGATACCTTACACAGAAGGTCAAGAGACTGCTCTCGAGTTTCTTCAGAATGGAGGCCACGAATCAAACGAGTGATGACAGCAGTATCGTTGTGGGAGGGGTCGAATGAGGGTGGAGCCGCCCCTCCTGAAACCATTTCCTCCGTTGGGTAGAGACTAGAAAAGAAGAGTGAAATCTGTGGGTGATATGTTTCTCTTATAGATATGAAATTTTCTAATACTGCATTTATTAGTCTGAGTTGCACAAGGAAATAACCAAAGAAAAAACAGAAGAGTAGAAAACAGTAATGACAAAGAGAGCGAGTCGTACGTTTTCTTGAACAGGCACCCACTCACACTCAAATAACCTGACTCGCTGATTTTGCTTCAATCCGCTGTACCTCAATTTCAGGGTTATTTTTTTAAAAAATAAAATGCGAATCGAATATGGCGCTTTGGAGTGGAGCAGATATGGTAAATGTTTGTTTGTTTAGATTTTACGTTAAACTACACCGTCACTCGTTTTAAATTGAATTTTCCATTGATTTTTTTTTTAATTTCAGTTATAGCATTAAAATTTTATAATTTAAATATTCAATCAATAAAATCTAAACAACACAATTTCTAATTAAATTGATAATACATACATATCTTAAAGACGTAATTGTTCGAACTTTAGAGATAAAGACTAATCATATTTATATACGTTCAACAAAACAACATCACTTTAATGTGATTGTTGATGTTTAAAACAATGAAGTTTTTTTAGAATTATATAAATGCTATTTTTTTCTTCGTTTTATTTCTCTTCTTTCCCCCCGTTTTTCTTAGTCTAAAAATCGGTCAAGCCCAATCATATTTATCAACGTTCATCAAAGTCAATCACAATTCACAATCATCAATTATCATCAACATCGATCGAAATTTCACAAAATACATCTTTTGATTTATTTATTCTTAAATCTAAATTCAATCTTTTTTCTTTCTAAATTTAACCAAAATGGCCTAGATCTATAAAAAAAAATTAGCCCTCGGTATTTATTCAAATGATCACTTTTGTCTTCATTATTAATTTTTGAAGATTTTAGCCTTCAATATTTTAATTTTTGATCAAAATAGCCCCCGTTGAATGAAAATCATTAATTGATTGATAGTCGATACATGTTGCTGATACGACATTTTCACACGTGATTAATTGGTCATGCAACACATGTCACATCATCACTATATATAGGGACCAAAGTAATCATTTAGGTAAACATTGAGAATTAATTTTGTCATTATATATATATTTATTTATATTGTAAAACCCCACTATATTTTTGTTCATGTCATTACTATGATAGAAGATCCGTTATACTGTTTAAATTTTAACGCTTCAATGCTTGTATTGAAGCAAAACGAAAGATTAGTATTATAATTGAATAAAAAATCTAAGATAAGATTTATTTAAACTCTAAAATTAAGTAATATTAATGTAGTTCATCCTAAATTTTATTTGAAATTTGAAATTATTATTTTATCTTCGTACACTGTGTTTTTTCCCTTAATCATTGTAGTGTACATCTGTTAACATAATGTGTTTTTATTTTGGTAAACTGGTATTGTGAACTTAGCACATGTAAGGTCAACAAGTTGATCAATGGAGAAAATTGGGGGTTGGACTGTTTAACTAATTTCTTGGACTTCTACTCAACGCATGTATTCAAACCGATATGAAACGGGCTACTGTTTCTTTTCAATCTGATCTTTTAGCTCATTTCTAGGTTAATCTGTTTTGTTTTGCTTGTCCATATTTCATTGTTTTCATATTTAATAGGAGCCAAATTAATAAAATAAATATACCATTTAATTTATACAAGTATTTGTACGTCATAGATGTATCAGAATTTTTTTAATCTTTTCACTCGTATAAATAATAGATGTGTCCTAATATAATTTTACACTGATTAACTAATTTATTTTTTAAAATTTATATCCAAACAAAATCTCTTTATCTATCCATTATCACTCATCTTTTATTAAATGCTTAAACTATAATTTATTATTTTACTAACCATTTTTATTATTTTTTAGCAACTTATATCATGATAATCAACCTATTACAAAGTGGAAAACGCTAAATGTGGTTGGTCACGGCAAATGGCCACATTCAAGGGGGGAAAATGTTGGTGGTTGAATGTGAACTTAAATTTTACGTGACTAATGATTTATTTGCATGGACTGTAAGCATGTAATACTACGAGCAGTGTACTAACTCAATGGTTTCATACTTAACAACTCTTCTTCAGTTCTTATTCTTCTTTTTTCCGGTCAAATATATATATATATATGATCACCGACATTAAAATTATGGTATTTATTCATTTTTATCATGTAATAATCATATTTGGCTTTTTATATGTGATTTAAAAAATAATATATAATTTTTAATATTAAATAAAATTTTAGTATCCACCCAATTAAATATTTCATCCCGGCGCCATACATATTATTTTAAAATAGGTTTTAAAATGAAACTATTATTTAATTAGCCACAATAAACTAGTGTTTTCACATTCACTTTCTTTTTTGGATAATTAAGATATTATTACCACAAACCAATCAACCAAACAAAATAAATCTGCACAGCCTATACAAAATCAGTGCACAACCTATACAAAATCAATGATTGGTAAAATTATAAACCCCAAGCATTTCAAAGGAAAAGGTTAGTGCTATCTAGCCGGTTGAAGCTTTTCCCCTAAGACAGAATCGAACAACATCAGAAATTTCAGTAAACAATTGTTCAACAGATCTAGATCGAGCTTGGAAAATTATTTGATTTCTTTCCTTCCATAAAAAATAGATGAAAGCAGACCACGCTATCTTCAAAATGAAGGTGATAAGTGATTTTCCTTTCCATGATGTGCTTGCTCTGTCAACCATTTCATCCCATGACAAATTTGAAGAGTTTAATCCACTATGGTTCAAAACTGAATTCCATAAGCAGACAACAAGTGAACAATCATAAAATAAGTGCTTCCGGGTCTCTTGAGAGTTTCTGCAGTTAACGCATAAAAAATCTGTGATAATTCCCATATTTTGCAAATGGTCTCGGGTAGACAATCTGTTGTGAAGAGCCATCGAAACGATTAAACTATGCTTCGGAATATGCATTGGGAACCAAATAAGTTAGACATATTAAATAAATTAGATTCAAATAATAATAATAAACTCTAGTAGGTACTATCATGTGGTAAAAGTTGAAAAGCTATAAGATTGAAAAGCAAGTTTTTAATAATGACAAGAAAGATTAAGTAAGGGAAGTAACATGAGAACATTAGAAGATATGTTCTTATCAATGTGTGCAATAAAAATTCGAGGACGAATTTTCTTAAAAGGAGGGGAGAATATGTGTTATAATCACTTAAACGAGTTTTTGTTAAAAAGGGTTATAAGAATGATCCAGTTTTCCCATGCATTTTTATTAAGAATTCTAGAACTGGATACATTATTATTACAAATTTAAATATCATTGGAACTCCTAAAGAAATTCAAACTGAAATTGATTGTTGGAAGAAAGAATTCGAGATGAAAGGCCTTGGAAAAACAAAATTTTGTTTGGGGTTATAAATTGAGCACCTAAAATATGGAATCCTTGTGCATTAATCAACGTATATAGAAAAAGTGTTAAAACTATTTTATATGGATAAGACACATCTAGTTACTACCCCAATGGTTGTAAGAACCAAGTAAAGATCATTTCCGTCCTCGGGAAGGTGATGATGTTTTTATTGGTCCCGAAGTATCATACCTTAGTGCAATTGGGGCATTGATGTATCTTGCTAGTCATACCCGACCTGATATATAATTTTCTATAAATTTGCTGACAAGATTTAGCTCATGCCCAACTCGAAGACATTGGACTGGAGTTAAGCAAGTATTTTGTTTTCTCCAAGGCACAAAAGATATGGGTCTGTTTTTCCATAATAAATCCAAAACAGAGTTGATTGGTTTTACAGATGTAAGATTTATGTTAGATCCTCATAATGGTAAATCATAGACATGATATGCTTTTATATATGGTGGTACATCAATCTTTTGGCGCTCCAAGAAAACGATTGCATCAACTTCTTTTAATCATGCAGAAATCTTAGTAATCCATGAAGTTAGTTGTGAATGTATATGGCTAAGATATATGATTCAACACATACGAAATAAATGTGGTTTATCATTTGAAAAAGAAGTTGCTACTGTTTTGTTTGAAGGTAATACAACATGCATTGAACAACTCAAGAGTGAGTACATCAAAGGTGATAGAACAAAACACATTGTACTTCAATTCTTATTCATTCATGACCTTCAGAAGCTTAAAGAGATATAAGTTAATCATATCAGTTTAGGTGAGAATTTGGCAGATTTATTCACTAAGGCACTTCCTACATCTGTGTTTTAGAAGTTAATACACTACATTGAAATGTGTCACATTAGATATTTCAACTGATGTAGCCATTAGGGGAGTAAATACGCGTTGTACTCTTTTTCCCTTAACCTTGTTTTTTTCCTCTGGTTTCCAAGTAAGGTTTTTAATGAGGCAGCATGTCAAGCGTACAATTATATGCTCTTTTCTTTCACTAAGTTTTTGTCCCACTAGGTTTTTTCTAATAAAATTTTAACGAGGTACAATTAGATAATGGACATCCAAGGGGAGTGTTATAAATATGTTGTGTGAATTCCATTATTACTCCTATTAGTTAATGTGACTTTTAGCATTCTTCAATGAATTGAGAAGATGAAACGTCAAATGACTTAACTCTTCACATGTATTATAATTATTAGAGAACATTCTTCACCCCTATATATATATATATGAGGTTCATGTACTCATCAAAATAAAGAAAAATATAGATACATTATCTCAATTTTCTCTCCCATGTTTCTCCTTTATTTTAAAAAAATACAAAAAAATATAATATTATAATTTATATTAAACTTAATATTATCTCATTCAATAATATTATTTATAAAATTTAAATTTAAATTCTTACATTAAAAGTGTAATGTGTTGCATTACTCCGTCAAATATTATTATAACTTATTATTTAATATAATATAAAATTTTATATAATATATATATTTTAATCGTAAATATCAAAATTTAAAACTTTAAACCTTA